AGCAGGAATCACCTTCAGAACATTGAACCTCACGGTCTTTGACAACGGCCTAAAGTTTGGGGAAAATCAAAATATGTTACAACGTTAGAGAAACAAAAGGGTCCACATATCAAACTGAATTTGGTATAGTACACCTCATGCCATAGCATATAAATATCACCTGCACTGGCCAATGATAACATGATCTCCTTCCTTCACACGGAAGCATGGTGAGATGTGAGCTGGAATGTTTGAGTGCCTTTTCTCATATCTGAAAAAAGCAATCGGAATAAAGAAAAGAGATTAACCAAAATGAAGTGATAATTTACAATAAGTTAACAAGCGTAAAGACAGACAAAGAAAAATAAATCCATCACAAATCAAGACTCATGCCTTTGGTATTTCTTGACGAAATGAAGGTAATTCCGGCGAACAATGATGGTCCTGATCATCTTAGCACTGTGGCAAGTGCCTGCCAAAATACGGCCCCTAATCGAAACAGTTCCAGTGAAGGGGCACTTCTTATCAATATAAGTTCCTGACAGAAAAAAAAAATCCCAAATCAGCAAATTCAACAATTCCAATTTTTGTTTTTTTTTAAACTACCAATGCTGAATAGCTACAATGTAAAGAAGTAAACAAAACAAGAAAATCACTAAACTAGGGACATGCCAATAGAGCTACCAATGGTTAATAATAATTTCTTCATATAGATTCCTCACTCATTTCATTCCACCAAAGCTTGTATGTGATAAAATAATTAGTGGTGAAACAAAAACTCTAGAAAATATTTATCCAATACTACACTTTTCAGTGATCTACAATACACAAAGGGATAAAATATGTACAAATACAGACAGAAATTGCGAATTAGAACACACAAAAATACCTTCAATGGCTTCCCTGGGGGTCTTGAAACCCAATCCAACGTTCTTCCAGAAACGATTTCCACCCTTTCCAGGTCTCTTCCCCTTCGAAGATTTCTTGGAGCTGAGAGTCGATTCAAAGAGAGAACAAAAAAATAAGAATAAAAAACACAGTCAAATTAACACGAAGAAAATGAAAGTTAGGGTTTTTCGAACTACCATAAGAACACTTTGGGCTGCTTAAGAAAAGCCTTCTCCGTCTGCAAAAAGCAAGGGTGGGCTTAGCAGATTCAGAAGGAAGCTCTAGAGAGAGAGAGAGAGAGAGAGAGAGAGAGAGAGAGAGAGAGAGAGAGGAGGAGGAACCTGCTCGGCCATGATTGGAGGCTTTGAATGAAGAGATTGTGCCGCGCGATGGGAGTTTTGCACAGGAGGCGTGAGAGAAGAAACTCAGAGTGTTGGCGAACCCTAATCAAGCTCAAGAGATATTGACGGGAAGCAGACGGGCCTTGTTTCTACATGGGCTTCATTTAGGGCGAGAGAGTTTGGGTTT